GTCATAGTGGGCTTTCTTTGTCCTGGAGAGGTGAAGACGGTGTGGTCGTGAGCCCTCCCAGTCTCCTGGATGCAGCCAGATGGGCTGGGCAGAGAGGGCAGGGGCCGGGGCCGTCTGCTTTGGAGGAGGGTGAAGGCTCACGATGTCTGAAGCTCTTTACCACCCGCTTCTCTGTGTGTCTGCCTGCAGAGATTCTGGACGAGAGCAGAGAAGGGAAGGAGAAGAGTCCTCCAGAACACCCTGCTGCCCCCCACACCCCCCCCAGCACCCCCGTCAAGCTTGAGGAAGGTGAGCTCTGGCTGCCCGCCGTGGGAGGGCGCGTGGCCTCCTGGGGTCCGGCGATGGCCGGGAGGGGTGGGCCTCGTGTTTTTGTCCCGTGGGGGGAGAGCAGCCGGGTGTGCAGTAGAGGGACTGAGTGATGAAAAAGCGCTTTTGCGTGGAAAGCCACCCACCACATGGTTCTGAACCGGCCCTCCTTGCTGGCGCTGGCCTTGGTAACTCGAGGACAAACGGATTGTTAGTGAGATGTCAGAACCAGGCGGGAAAGGTTTCGGGGGTTGGATCCCGCCTTCGTTACGATGTCCGTTTTGCCCACTGCTTACACAGTCCTTAGACCTTCCTGTGTTCAGATCACTCCTCTGGAAACGTCTTCCATCATGTCTGAGCCGTGGTACCTCGTTGGACCTGCCGTAGTAATTGGTCCGTGCGAGTGCAGGCCTCCATTGGCCTCTCGGACTGCCCACTGCGTGTCTGTGGCGTGTGGCCCACGTGTCTGTCCCTCGGTCGTCTGTGTCGTGCTGCCCGTGCCTGTTGGGAGCCTGTGGCTCACCTTCCCCCCGTTCCTTGTCCACAAGAATGGCTCAGCCATCCTTCTATAACCCGGCGGCTGTGACTGAATGCCTAGATTCTCTCCCTGTGCTTTTCTCTTCCTGTGGCTGCGTCACAAGCAGGAGGTGGATGTGCTAAAGAGTACCTGTTACCATAGTAAGTACCGCCCGTCCGGCCCTCTGCTGTTTAACCAGCATCCCCTGTGCTTTGCTTCATTCTCCTGCTTCTTTGTTGCTTACTCAGTTTTGTTTTCTGTTTATTCAAAATGAAAATAGAGGGCCCCCCTCCCCCTTTCTCACACCCAGTTCCTCCATCCCAGGCAGTGGCGTCTTGGCAGGGACTCGGTCACCAGAGAGCTGGGTGGTGGCAGCCTGTCCCTGGGCCCCTGGACTGAGGGCCCTGCTCAGGGAGCCCTGGGCCTTGGAAGCTCCACAGCGATCATGTTGGCCGGATCAGCCTGTAATTGCTCTGGGCGGGAGGTTTCGCTGTTTGGATCGGAAGTACGTCTAGACTAGGTTCAGACAGCTTAGGGGTCGCATGTGTTTGGATCTTTGCTTAAGTTCAGATGGGGCAGAAGAGCTACATTTGGCGCTGGTTTTTTAATGTGACCTTGGCCACACGATGAAAGTCCCCGGAGGCACCCACAGGCAACCTCTGCATGCTTTGCAGAGTGAATCCCGACCTCCTCCTGCCCTAGCCAAGTAAGGACATTTCATTATCCTGGGACAGAAGGTGGCTAAGGGCAGGGACAGGGTAGCTCCAGCCTCCCAGAGCCAAAGTGCTAAGTGTTTGGGGCCCGGAGCCTCCTGTGCCGGCCGCAGCTCACCGACACTCGGCTTGGGGCCCCTCCTGACTTCAGCTCCATTTCTCCGTACTAGACGGTTTGCTGTTGCCTAAGCAGCAAGTTGCTTGTAACTCTATAGGCTGTTTTTAAGTATCTACAAAACTGGTTCGGGGATTAGATCCCGCCTTCGTTATGATGTCCATTTTGCCCACCGCTTACACAGTCCTCAGACCTTCCTGTGCTCAGATCACTCCTCTGGAAACGTCAGAGGAGTCTGTGTAGAAATCTGGTGATGGGGACCTTTGCTAGAAGCACACCCTCAGACCAGTTATGCTGTACCTATTTACGTTTCCACGTTCAACTTGTGAAGATGGCCTGATGTTTTGCCCCTAGCTCTTACCTCATAATTCATCTCTTTTCTTTGATTCTCCAGCCTAAAATGGCTTTATTTCGTTTGATGCTGATATAGGAGGTCTGGAGTTAACCATGACTTTCTGTGGTTTTCTTCTTGGGGGAGACCAGGTGTTGTGGGCTGAAATTGAGGCTTAATTTCAGGACTACTGATAATGTGCCCTTAGGGTTCTAGAATAAACTTCTGTTCAAGTGCTCACGCAGAGCACTGTCCTGCTGAAATGCTCCCAACTTGCCCACCTCGCTCTCTCTGACCGGGGACCAAGGCCCTGTCCGTGAGCGCCCTGTCCACGAGGGGGAGCTGAAAACAGCCCTGAGATTGTGCCTACGTCTTGTTCTCTGAGCTCCCCCTGGCCCTGAAGTAGAGCACACCTCACTTAAAGTGTCAGCCGGGTGTCGGTAGAAGCCCCTGCGTCCAGGTGGGCTCCGTGCGGGGCGCCGCCCCCTCCCCCCCCTCGGGGCCGCCCCGCCGAGGTCTGGCAGGCATTCTCCAGCCCCGGCTCTCCTACCCCACCCGCCAGACCTGCCGCAGGAGCCCGCCTCCAGAGAGGACAGTGACGCTGCCACCTTCAAGCCGACTCTCCCCGACCTGTCCCCTGATGAGCCTTCAGAAGCGCTCGGCTTCCCGACATTGGAGGAGGAGGAGGAGGAGGAGGAAGAGGAGGAGGGGCTCTGTGAGGCCCGCGAGCCCCCCAGCCCCACCAGGTCCCCCTTGGTGGCCAGCCCCGAGCCAGCCTCCGCCCGGGCGGCTGAAGAGGCCGCCTCCCCAGCTGCCGAGGACCCTGGCAGCGACGGGTCTCCGGGCAAGTCCCCTTCCAAAAAGAAGAAGAAATTCCGCACCCCCTCCTTTCTGAAGAAGAGCAAGAAGAGGAGTGACTCCTGAAGACCCCGTCCTGCACCAGCTGACGCCACCAGACCGTCCCCGATCGCGTCTCGTGTCCTGTCTTCCCGTGTAGTGGAATGCAAAAAGCCCAGCCCTCCATGTAGCTAGAGCTCCCCTCCCGGCCTGACCAGACCCCCACGTCCACTGGTGCTCGCCTTGCGTGTGTGCGCAGCGGTCCCCCCCCCCCCCCCCTCCCCGGCCCGCAGCCTCAGGTTCTGGGGGAGACGAATCCACGTCCCTCCCATCCGTCTGCCCCTCGGTGACACCCTCTCCCCTGGCGGTGAGAAGTCCTGGTCCTGGCCAGACGGTCGGAGGCCCTGCCGGCTCTGGCCTTGACCGCTCTCTCCTGTTGTGAGGTGACCCGTGCTGTGTGCTAGGCTCCCCTTCACCCCCAGGTCTCGGGTGACTGAATCAGACTTGTAGCTTCCTGCTGGCGTTACCTGCTGGGTGAGTGATCTCACTCTGTGGACACAAAGCCTCAGTCCTGTGAAAACACTCACGTGCCCGCCAACGGCCCAGGGCATAACAACAGCCTTTGAGAGGCGAGTTTGGGCTGAGCCGGAAACCCCAACAGCAAAGGGGACCTGTGTCTGCCCGGCACAAGCTATGTGTGGTCTGATTACCCTGAGGCCAGAAACAGGTTCAGGGGCTCCCCATCTTTCACTCACTGGGGTCTCTGGGTTCCTGTCACGGGGAAGATACGTCAAGACGGGGGAAGAGTCCTTTCTAGAATTTTTTTTCAGCAGGTTTGCAATTTACCCTACGTTTTTTACCGTGAACAGGCCACTTTTTAGTAAGTTTTTTCTCTGCTCACTCGTCTAGGGGACGTTTTGGACCAAGAAGGGGTCTTCTCTTACCTTTAACTCTGCCTTGAAGACCCCCCTGGTTTTGGTAAAAGGCGCAAGGTACAAGACCCAGTGGTCCCTCCCTCACTGCTTACACCAGCCACTTATGAGCCGTGACTTGCTCTCCTTGTTTGGCATCGTGAAGTTTCACTTAACTCAGACCCCTGGGAAACCACATGAAGCTGCTTAGCGGGACTAGTGGGTGACCCATTCCAGGAGCTGCCCCGGTGCCAGCCTGACCAGGCACCGGCAGGCCTCCTCCTCGGGCGGACCCACGCTCCTGACACCAAGGCAGGACCTGAGGCTGGCTGCATGGCGCTGACCACTGCTTCGAGCTTGCTGGCGACTTGCTTTTCTCCTGTGTGTCACTTTGTTGCCATGGTGGCGTCCAGGCGCTGAGCCCTCAGCCCGTACTTCAGTTGACCCCGGACTCTTTACCCCTTCCTTTTGTCCCTCACATGCAATGACTTTTATTTCACTTTTGTAGTTTATTTTAACTCTTTGTATTACAACATGAAGTCTAGTCGCATATATGGATACAGGCTTGGGAGGATGGGTCCTCTGTCCTCCACTGTAACGTGTTTTACTCACAAATAAAATTCTTTAAGCAGTTTCCTTGTCTAAATTTCGGAAGCAGTTTGGCATTTTTTTCCCCCTTTGTTCAAGATAGGACTTCCAGAAGTCCGTCTTGAGATCCCAAGTGTTTATTTCTTGATCGGACACTGTTGCTCTGCACCAGGAAGGCCCCTAGAACCCAGAATCGCCTTGCCCGGGGTGCCAGCCTGCTCTTGGGCCCGAGAGCCTGACGCCCCTACAGTCCGAACAGATGCGCAGGGGTGGGATAGTGATGGGAAGAGCCCAGCACAGGGCTCCCTCCTCCCTGGGTGGCCAGGGTGCAGGGCACAGCTCACGTAGGCCCTAGCGAGTGTGGGCTCCCATCGTGGCGGGCCCTGTGTCACCCTTTCTGTCCTCCCTGTTGTGCAGAATGGTCACGGGCCCCGGACGAGCCTTGGACTTTTCTGCTCAGTGCAGGTGTAAGAGCTTCTGGTGCTCGGGGGTCTCCCAGGTGGGGGGTAGTGAGGCACAGCCGTGTGCTGGCGAAAGGCACTTGGTATAAAATAGCTGCTTTATTTTGTCATTTGGAGGCTTGGCTGACACCGTGTGTCTGAGAGAAAAGTGAACACAAAACCTGAAAGGTGTTGGGGAGTCCCTGGTCCCAGCACTACGGGCAGGACTGTCCAGGCGCGCGTACCACGGAGCTGCTGGAGTGTCTGGCAGGGGCCAGGGCTGGGCCCCAGGGGGAGGGGAGAGGTCCCGTTCCCTCCCTGCCCCCCCCTTCCCCAGCTTGAGGCAGGGCTAGCTCCACTACTCGGCCTTGGGTGCCATGCGGGCTGGAGGCCTCAGGTTGCGCAGGAGCAGGAAAGGGAGCAGGAAGAGGCCTGAGCACACCGTGAAGCAGACCCTGGCCCCGGCCAGCCAGTACACTGTGGAGAGACAGCCCGAGAGGTGATGCGGGCCCTCCCTCCCCGCTGCGCCTCCACCCCGGGGATGGCAGGACCACGGCAGGAACCGACGGGGAGGCAGGGGAAGGCGGATGGCAGGGCCACGTGGCCTCCCCCTGGCCTTGCCTCCCAGGGGCACAAGCGTGCCTGGAATGCTATCCCGGGGCCCTTACCTGAGGCAGCCACCATGGGTCCCACTGCCCTGGCCAGGGCGCCCAGGCTCCGAAGTGTGCCCATGATCGTGCCCTTCTGCCTGGGCAAGCCTTTGGGGGGGGGGGGGGGAGGCCGGGGGGGGCTTGCTGGTCTCCTCCCACCTGGGGGGCCTCGGGCAAAGAAAGGCTCCTTACCATAGTCAGCGACCACGGAGGACAAGCAGGGCACCACGACGGCAGCGGCTGCCAGGGGACACCAGGAAGGTGGCAGGCAGCCTCCAGGTGATGCCTGGAGGGCTGTGACCCGGGATCCCTGGCCACCGGCTCCCTACCGTTCCCACCCTGGCCCCGGGAGGACCCCCTCACCGAAGGAGTAGAGCAGCAGCCCCAGGCCCAACGCGGGCAGCGTGAGCCCCCAGCCAATGAGGAGGAAGGCAGGCACCAGCAGCAAGATGGCCTGCGACGGCGGGGGGGGGGATGGCAGCACTCAGGACCCACCCCTGCCACTTCCAGCGGGACTCGCGACAGGGCCTGCCCCCCACTCGCCCGGGGGAGCCTCGTACCCGCTTCACCGCTGCAACCTCGCTGCCAGGGCTGATCTTCCGGGCGTAGGCGCCCTGCACGGTGGCCATGGTGAGGCCGATGAAGAAAAACATCTTTCCTTGCTGCAGGCTGGGAGCGGGGGAGCCGTTAGTGCCTTGGTCTGACCGCCCTGCTCCCGCCAGCCACGCCGGAGCCTGGGAGCCCACAGCTTCTCCTGGGCCTCAGCCAGCGCCTGCCCCAGGGATGGGCCAGGGTGGGCGTCACTGAAGCGGGGAAGACAGGCTGGCGCCGCTACCTGCTGAACTGGAAGCGCTGATGGGCGAGGAAGCTCAGGGTGAACTCGAGACCCGAGAACAGGAAGAGGTAGAGGAAGTACACCAGACCCAGGCGGCGAAGGTGACGGATCCCTGGGGAGCACGGAGAGCGTCTGTAGGGGCCGGCAGCCCGAAGACGCGACAGCCCCGCACTCGTGATGGGGGTGCCTTCTTACCGTCTCCAGCGGGTGGGTCCTGGCCACGGGCCACGGCCGAGAAACGGAGCAGGGCCACGGGGCTGAGCAGGTCTGCCGCAGCCTGGAACCCCGGGCCGATAGAGGATGCCTGGAGAGGGGGTGGGACTGGAGAGGCCGGCCAGGCAGCTGGGGAGGGCCATGACCTGAACCTGGCCTGGCCTCTGGTCCAGATGCCCGGACCAAGAGGCAGGGGTCCCCGGAGGCACTGCGGCCCCAAGAGCCCCTGTGCAGGAGGAGAGGCCAGCCCAGCATTCTTGGCCAGCCCCACGGGCCCACAGAACTGAGCCCCTGCCCTGGGGCTCGGCAGCAGGTTCTGGGACCCACCTTACCCGCTTCTCCGCAGGCAGCGTCTCCGGCAGGAAGCAGAAAATAAACAACAGGTCGGAGGCAGCAAAGAGCAAAGCCAGCCAGGGTACCATCTCCGCTGGCAGGAAGGCGCCGAGCATGGGGCCCAGCGTGAAGGCCAGCGAGAAGGCCACTCCAATGACTGCCTGGGGAGAAGGCCGCCTGAGCCGGGATGGGAGACCCCAGGCAAGGAATCCCAGCCTCCTCGCCCCGTAGTGCGCACGCACCATGCCTCGGCTGCGGGCGGAAGGTGAGCCCAGGTCGGCTACGATGGCTGTGGAGAGGCTGACGTTTCCCTTGCTGATGCCCCCAATCACCCTGGAGGCCAGGAAGGCGGCGAAGCTCTTTGAGGCCGCCCACACGGCATACGAGGTGGCCAGACCTGCCTGTCCCCGGGGCAGGTGTGGTCACTTGAGGCCAGGAAGGGCCCAGAGTTGGGCTGACAAACCCAGGTAACGCCGCTGGGACCCGGCCCTGTCTGTTCTGGAGCACTCAAGGTCCGTCTGTGTTCCCGATGTCCCCCCGCAGACAGGGAGCGGCTCTGGGAAAGCCTGCCTTAGCCACAGGAGCCAGCACCCAAAGCAGCACACCCAGGGGGCAGCGAGGGCCGCTGCCGGGTGGGTGAGAGGTGGGCACCCGTACCAGGGACAGCAGCATCACCGGGCGCCTCCCGAGACAGTCTGAGACAGCCCCCGTGACTGGTGCCAAGAGGAACTGCAGGAAGGAGAAGACTGAGCCTATCAGACCTGCAAGAGACAGACGTTTGGGTTACACGACTCGGTCTGTCCTCATGGGTCTGGTGATGCTGGGTGGGCCCCACCAGGAGTGGACACTGCACACGGGAAGGGGGCAGACAGTGCCCAGCAGCAGCCAAGTGGGGACAAGGACCCCAGCGTGGGACTTGGGGCCGTACCTCCAAACAGGACACTGTTGTACCTCTTCTCCGCTGGCATCCTGATGGCTGCGGCAAACCAGTCCACGCCTTGTTGCCAGGAGCCATAGAGGGGATCCTGGGGAACGAGGAAGTGTGACAGGGGTTGGGGGAGTCCCTGATGGGCTTTGGGGCAGTGGGCAGCCATCGTGGGAGTCGGGGGGCCTCCAGACACGGGGGAGGGCTCACGTGGGCACGGCCATGGCTCTCCAGCAGCCCTGGCAGCAGAGGCAACAGCAGAGTGAAGGCCAGGAGGTCCAGCAGGAGGCCGAGGAAGACCACGGTGATCACACGGGGCTCTGACAAGGGCTGTTGGCGGATGGGTGGGCGCGGGGTGCAGCTCCCTCCTGCTCCCCAGCCCATGGTGGGGGCCGCTCCAATCCCGCCTGGCTGACAGTGTGGCAGGTCTGCATGAGGGCACCTCTGGGTACCCCAGAGCCAGAGACCTATCCTGGACCGGGGAGGAAACAGAGTTCCCCAGCCCTCACCATGCCCCCGACCCACTAACAGCTAGCAAGCACCCTAAAGGGAATGCCTGCCCGCCTCCCTAAGGGCCCCTCAGTGCGCCCTCTCCCTGATGCCAGGCAGCAGGAAAGTCAGGCTGCTGGGTTGCGCAAAGAAACCGCAGCCACCGATGCCAACCAACCGTCCCAAGGGGCCGAGTTGGGGGCATCGGGGCCCCGGCCTACTCCATGCAGCCGCCCCAGGTCGTCTTGCAGAGTGGCTGGGGAAACTGAGGCCCGGGCGGAGGGCAGCCCCGGCGGTGTCCCCGTGCCCCTGAATCCCGGCCCCCAGCCCCCACCCCCCAGGAACCCGGCCCCCGACCTCCCCCATCACCCGCCCCGCCCCGCCCGGAATCCCGGACCCCGACCCCCGCCCTGGCTCGCATCCTGGGCGGGGCAGTGGGGCGCGCACGGACGCGGGAGCAGCCCCCCACCCTTGCACCTGCCGCGGCCGCGCGCTCAGGGATGTCGGACGGTCGGACACACGAACTGACGGACGGATGCGGAATGGACTGCGGGAACACTGCCGGGGGCGGGCGCGCGCCGGCCACGCCTCCTCCCGCCCCGGACGTGGGCGCCGGCGCGCTTCCTCTTCCGGCCGGCAGGCTGAGAGCGGGCGGGTCGGGAGGGGCCGCCGCCGCCTTCCCGCCGCTCACCGGCTCGTGCCGACGCGGGTGTCCCCGCCGTGACCGCGCACGCCAGTGTCTCGGCGGCTCTGCGCGTTGTGCCGATCCCGGGACCCCGGGACAGGCGGCCGGGGAAGGGGACCCGCGGGAGCCACAGCGTCCAGCCGGCAGCGCGCTGGCCTCTCCTGCCACCAGCCTGACCCAGGTCGGCGGACGCCCACATCACCTCACCACCTCCACCCACATGCCCTCCAGGATTCGTCTGACTGGCCGACCCGAACCAGAAAGTAACGGGAAGTTCTGGAAATGAGGTTCGGCTTCCAAGTTGACGCGCGTCCACAGCCCACCCCCTTGTCAACTTGGCATTCCTACCCCCTCTTTACACCGTAGTAAACTCCCAAGTAAAGATAGCAGTCCCACCGCCTGATAATAGGCGCAAGGAGTCCACCTCCAGCCAAGAAGAAAGCCGTTAGCACTTTCTCCAAAGGATACGTTCGGGGCATGTTCATTTTTCCCAGCTGGGCCACGGGGGAGGGGCAGGAGGTACGAGTTGGAAATAGTGCCTCAGAAGGCTCGGAGCAGCCCTCGGTTCTGCCCCTGGCAGGCTGGTCCTAGCTGGGTTTCATCCCTTCTTCCAGAATCCCTTGCAGGAAGAGGCAGGGCTGGGCTGGGCCAGATACACAGATCCTGACGTTTCCAAGAATTACATGTCCAGGGGGTTTGGGGAGAGGCCCGGGGGGCGGGGGGAGCAGAGTGATAGCTTGATCCAAAGCTGGGGCCTTAGGGCTTGTTGCCGGCCCGGTCCGGCCTCGTGGGACTGAAGAGCAGGACGTCGGGCTGAGGCCCAGGTGCACGAGATCCCGGGGTTGAACGACGACAGCTGGCCAGGCCTGCACGTCGAGGAGGGGACGCCAGCCTGGTCCGTGCCTGTGACAGCCGCCGGGGCCTCCTGGCTCTGTGGAGCCACACAGCTGGCGAGCCTGTCTCTGGCGACCCGGGGGAGGCTGGCTGAGTGCTCCTCCCTCATTCCCAAGGCTGCTCTCTCTAGTCGGGGCTCGAGCCCTACGTGCTCCAGGGGCATTCCGGCCCCGGACTCCGCGTAGAGTTCCAGCACCACCCGATTTGGCCAAAAGCAAACTGCCAATTCTCCCCACCAACCAACCTTCTCTTTCCCGCCACACTTAGGCCGTCCTGCCAGCCACTCCGAGTCCCCCACATCCCCCTGGCCGGTCCTCAAATCTGTGGTTTTTGCCACGGCCGACTGTGTGACCTCAGGGACTGGTGTCTCAGTGCAGGTCCCAGGGCCACCTCGCAGGACTGGCTGCTGTGACCACAAGCTGTGTGACACCGGCCTCCAGCGCCGGCCTGTGGGAGGCAAGGCCTCGGCACCGGGCCCCGTATCACCTGCCAGGTACACCGATTTCTGTACAGGAGCCAAATATCTGTGGTCGTCCCAACACGAAGCTGGCCGGGATCCCCTCAGTCCCAAACCCTGTGATTCAGCGAGGCTTGTCCGGACGACGGAGGAGCCCGTCCCGGCCGGCTGGCGTGGCTGTCACGGAGGACTGTGGGGCTGTGGCGCGGGGAAGAAGAAGTCACACTGACAGTTCGGCAGCCTTTATTACGTTCAGTCTACAGGATCTCCTTGCCTAATGTGCGAAACTTTACTTTTTGAACTTTTTCCTCTTCAGAGCCTTCCATTCCCCTTCCTGTGTGGCCAGACTGTTAAAAAGGTGTTTCACTTTTCGCTTTCTTTCCGCATCCCTTCAAAGCAAAGGACAAAACCCCATTTTCTGGATTAGTTGTTTTGCAGGATGTCTTGCCCACGAGCCACTAACGAGCACGCGGGCGCCGGACCCATGGAGACGCGGGGAGTCAGGGGCCCAGGCCTCCCCCCCCCCACCCCGTCGGGCAGCCCCCCCAGCTTCCTCACCGCTCCAGGGTCTCCGCCAGCTGCATCCGAGCCAGGAACTGGTTGTCCCTGCGGATCTCCCTGACGGCTCCTTTAAATTCACGCTTGTGTTTGTGGATCAGTCTTTTTCTTTCCTGCTCTTCCTTGCTGCTTCCCTGCTTCCGCCCAAACTCCAGGCTGAGAGTGGAGAGCCGCGGTCAAGCCCGCCTGCCTCGGGCAGTCTGCTCCCCTGTGGCTGTTCCCCCCGCCCCCCCTCCCCATCCCGAGCCCTCCTGCACCCCCGGCTGGACCCCTCAGAGCGGGGCCAGGGGGCCGCGGCTACGCACACTTTGACCAGTCGGGGGGTGAACAGCTTCAGTGGCACGGGCTTGCTCTTCTCACAGATCAGCGGCCGGTAGCGCCGTTCCTGCTTCCCCATGGCGGCCAGCGCGCTCCGGCACAGGTCCTGAAACGCGGGCAGGCGGTGGGGAGGCTGCAGCAGGCCCGCCGGCGTGTGGCCTCCAGGCCCCGGGCCCGGGGCAGGAAACGGGACAGAGACCCGGGCCCCCTGCCGCGCCCCTCTGGCTCCCGGCCTCCTCCGCTAAGTAAAGGGGTGCGGGCCCGGCCGTGAGGGAGCCCCCTTCATGCCGACAGGGGTGGGGGCCGATGCACGGCGGGCCGGCTCCCGTCCTGGCTGGCAGGACTGCAGGGCCACCGAGACCCGTGCAAAAGGGTGTTTTGTTGGCACACGTAGAAGTGAGGACCGCCTGTGCTTTGGCGTCCGGCAGACACAGTGGAATCTCCTTCCCCAGAGAAACTGCTCACAATGGGTGTCAGTGATCCACCCGTTAAGGACACACACACATACGGGACAGCCTTCACTTGTACCCTGAGTGGCGAGGAGTGCAGGGGCAGCCAACGGGGAGCCACACTATGGGGGCAAGACTGAGTTTCTACCCGACTTTGTGATCTGACCTTACAGAACCAGATGGTTAAGGTACCTTCGCCACGGCTGTGACTTCTGAGGAACTTTCTAGAAGCCGGCATACTGACGGTTCCTTTCCCCTCACATAGCTGTGTCCTGGAACTCAGGCCTCTGGCACCACGGGCACAGCATCCCTCACCCCCGGCCCACACAGTTGCTTCTGAGGCCAAAAGCCCCATCTCCACAGGAACTGCACGTGAGGCACAGCCAGCTTGGCTCGCCCCGGGTCCATTAGCACCATCGAGGCCCCTCGGTCAGACCAAATCCCGCAGGACCAGAGAGCCACTCCGTCCTTTAAAGGACAAGCCACAGCCACACCTACAGTAAGACATAGCTGTTGACATCTTAGCCTCATCAATCTCTACGTGCTGAGGTGACTCCGTGTGGACCGCCCGGGCTCGGAGGGTGTCCAACAAGGGACGGCTGAGCTCCTGTCCTCACGGACACGGCCTGTCCCTGTGCTAGCAGGGGAGAGATATGACAATGTGTTGTGGAGGAGAGGCCAGGGAGGGGGTGAGCAGCAGGGCCACTCCCTCCCGGACGGCCTGGCTTCCTGAGGAAAGCAAGGGGATGAGCCGCCGGTGTTTAGGGACAGCGCTCCAGGCAGAGAAAAGGGCGAGTGTCAACTCTGCAGATGACGGGGTCCGAGCGGGTGAAGGGAGTGTGCCAGCTCGCCTGGCCTGACACACCACAGTCCCGCCTTCGCCTTCTGATGGCCCTGACGGCCCCTCGGACAGAAGCCTATGGCCGGCTGGGGACGACTCCAGAGGAGACAGGGTGGGGAGGCGGGGCACCCACGGGAAGGAGGGTCTGGAGTTTAACGAAGGCACGACCAACAGACGTGCCACAGAACCGGCAGCTGTTGAAGACGTCTGCTGAGAGAAACCGAGGGGGTCCTTCTTGGCTTCTGTCACCTTGTAAAGAACCGTGGGACTGTTCTCAGAAAACCTGTGAGGCTCAGGGGATGCGGAGCCCAGAGGGCACATGACCACAGGGCAGCTCTCAGACCAGGTTCTCGAGCCAGACGCCGTGCAGGCCGAGTGCCTTCTCCCTCGGCACCCCGCTACTGTGCCTTCCCGTTGGTGTCCCCGATTCCTAGAGTCGCAGCCTCGTGACAAGAACGCCCCCTGACCTGCTCCCCACCCACCCGAGGCGGCCGGGAAGCCTTACCTGGAGCTCCTGGGGGTGACTGCAGGCGGCCAGGTGCTCCGTCAGCAGGGCCCGGAGGGGCCGCACGATGTCGTGGAAGGATGGCAGGGGGCCGTACGTGAGCACGCAGCGCTTCACCAGAGCCAGACACACGGCCAGGCAGGACAGTCTGCAAGAGGGCGACACCCGGCGTCAGGGCCGGTGGCCAGACGGGAGCCGGCTCCTTCCCGTCGGGCACTGCCTCCGCCAACCACCCTGGCAGCACTCAACTCCGAGACCTGTCCCGGGCCGCGGGGCCACCGGAGCGGAGACCCTGCCCGCGCCGTGTCCGCAGCAGCCGACGGCTCACGGCATCGGACCAGAAACACCGCGAAACACACCTTTCGTCCCCAAGTCTAAAGGACCGTTGTGGGAAATGCAGTAACAACTTTGGGAGAGTGGCTCTGTGTTAGGTTTTAAATTACTATTTGCAAAATCAAGCAGACAGATCTCCAAAATTTTAGGACAGGTTTTTTTTTCTTTCATGGACTTGGACGGACACTTCTCCACAGAAGACATACAAATGGCCAATAAGCACATGAAAAGATGCTCAACGTCACTAGTCTTTAGGGAAATGCA